GGTGCACCACGTGGAGGTAAGTCTATCGCACACCCCATAATATAAATAATAACAATAATTCCGACCAACATTTGATTGTCTGGGCGTTCCTTCAATAGGTCTATTCGGATGAAGGAAACCAAATGCCAAAAAACCGTTATTTAAGGAAAAGGTGCAGAATTTTTGGAGAATACCAAGATTATGGCAAGTGCACACAGTGCAGTCATTGAGTCAAAATAAATATCTAAGTCTTATCAAAGACTGACTGAAGAACAAGACTACAAAACCCTACAGCCCAGTGGGTAATAACGGTGACATCGGCGCACACACCCATGAAATTTGTATTGGTATCGAATAGACTACAACTGTACCCCTTTGAAGAACAAAAAACCAATTAGTGCTAATATATGCTTAAAGAACCCGACATCCAATTAACTCATTACTCATTCGCTTCTTAAACTATACTCAAGCCAAACTAAGACTTCTTTGGTTAGGAAATACCTAGGACTCGCTAGTTTCTAAGGTTGTCCTAGTAATTCCACTTATCCATTTATTAATATGGAGTAAAAATTGAGGTGTCACCTTGATTGGCTTGCATTTTGCCAGGGAATAAAATGGTCTTGGCGCTTTTAACTGAATGATTTAGACATATGAGGAAAATATCGACGAATAACTGCTCAAATTGTTGCATCAACATCATTGTCTAAACGCAGCAAGCAAATTTTTATGTGATTAATTGAACGAAAGCACATTATAAAATCTCATGAACCATGGTTTGTGGCTATTTTACAAGTGGAGTAAGTTCGAAGTGTTTGAACAGTTTCCTCTAAAGGTAGTTTTCTGGTGGAAATTGGCTTAGGACCTAATGGAACTAAGTACACTGACAGCTGACCAGAACTTTAAGATTAAATCTGTATCCGCAAATGAATAAGATATCTCAGATCAATGTTATAGACCTTATTTTTTGGTGCCCAATGAACTTTCTGGATCAATGGGTTAATTTTAAGCTTAAAACCGAAAAAATGTATTCCTTTTCACATAAAAGACATTGTTTCAGTCCTTAACGCCTGTGATCACTTAGCTAAAGGTGGAATACAGCAAATTAATCTCGAGCATTTGTGAACCGATTTGCGTGTGTGCGTGTGTTTCACTGCCAAATGAATAATTATTTACCGCCATTTACCGAGAAGTTCCATTCATCGATGGGCATATTGCACAACCCACTCGCAACCCCCATTCATCTCGTGGGAAATAAAGCGGACTTCTTTGAATCACGTCACGGCTCTTCAAAGCCCACACCTTTTTTATTTCTTGGATAGACGTAAGCAGATGACCAACTTTGTTCCAATCGCTCTTATCTTATCCAGACAGACATGTTAATTAAGATGAAATAAGCGTTGAGGCGTTTCGAAACTACATCGTGAAGGAATCCAATGAATTCAATTTGGCTGGCATTAGGTGAACTTTGGTGACTCACCAACATGTAGAATCAAAAGATCATTCGATAAAAACTGTTATAAATAGTGGTGTAACCATTGAATTTAAATCATCGGTGGAATAGCAAGTACAAAGCTGTAGTTTGAGGGTCCGAAATGATGCTGATCTTTAAACTTAGATTTTTCTTAACGACGTCTTTCATAATCATGATAAGGCGCTAAACTCCATGCATATCTTAACAGGTAATAACAAACAATTGATTCTTTCATATTATAGCAACCAAATTAG